TAAGTGATTGTACAGTATTTCCCCTTAACGACGGACCGGGCACATCTGTAAGAGGTGTAGATATTTGGCTTGCAGGGGATGAGGCTGCTCCTAAACCTGCAGTAAACTCAGCAGTGCCATTAATTGTTGACATGGTTCGCGAAGTGACGGTAGATGCGCTATTTTTAATTACGACGGGCTGGTCATTACCACAAGAGCAATTCCAGCTAACATTAGCAACGTCACTATTTACTCCAACGCACTCAAAATGGAACCACTTATCACAAGAGTCACACTGCACCATGCGTTCGGTGTCTTTTAAGTCACATTTATTGCAATTAAAATCGGTTTGCGACATTTTATTTTGTCTAATTTAAACCCGATTTATTTATATTTGTATAGAGGCAAAATATGTTTTTTTATTTTTATTAAAACCACACGAAATTGTTTTAAAGAACTGTGGCTTCAGAGTTTGTTTAAATTGAAAAACAACTTTTAAGAGCAACAAATATAAAAATAACTTTATTTTCTTTAATTAGAATTTAACAAAGTTTAATATTTTCCGATGCTTTAAAACAATTTGTTTTCACTGTCTCTTTGACAAACTCATAAAAAGCCCTTAATAATCATCTGCAATGCCTTTTAAAGCAGTAGATGATCAGTAGGTAGAACCGTTATTAAGCAATTGTTCAATAAGAGCAAAAGAATAAACAAATGTATAAACATTCGTACATACATATATGTATTTAATGCAAATATATGTATGTATGCTTGTATTTTTACTGCAGTGGAAAACAAAATGTAATAAATAATAAATAAATAGGTAAACAAAATTTAAATAAAACAGTGGCGGCGGTAACACTTGATTTTCTTCAGTTATTTCAAATTCGCCCTAAAAACTTTATTAAATGGTTTTCACTAGTGTGAACACCTTATAAAAAAGTTGTCACAAATTGTTTGAAAATTTTGTAATTGTTTTTTTTTTTTTTTTCTCTCCAACTGGTATTAAGTCTAATCTAATGCTATTTAAAATGTCTCTATGTATTTGGTTTTTTTTTTCATTTTTTTCTAACATTTGTTTTTGTTACTTTTTGCAAATGTCAACCATAACTGAACACAATCAATAATTGCAATTAACTGGTATTAAATATTTTTAGCTAGTTTTATTTAGACAATATTTTTCTTAGGTCTGTCGTTAATGTTGTCTTTGAGACGTTGCTGTTGTTGTTGTTGTCGTAGTTGTCTTTCTTAATAATAATAAAATTAATATAAAAAAACTAAAAATAAAACTAACCTGTCAGAGTTAACTTTAGTTTATGTTTGTTCGATTTAATGTTCATGTTTATTTTTTCAACTGTAATTTTTTTTCTAATAAATTTTTTATTTGTAATAATATTTTTTCATTTATGTTTTTTTAAGATTTATGTTAAAATAGCGTGTTAATTAATGTCGTTACGTAATATTTTAATCAACCCATATAAGCGAAAAAATAATACAAGGAGTTTCTTTTTATTAGAAAAAATATGTTTTCAATTTGGAGATCAGAACAAGATAAGCCATTTAAAGACAATTATTAATATGCAAAGACCTTTCATGCATTAAGACTAGCAGACTATATACCACATAGACTATAGAACTATAGACTAGACTATAGACTAGACTATAGACTCGACTATAGACTAGACTATAGACCAGACTATAGACCAGACTATAGACCAGACTATAGACTAGACTATAGATCAGACAATAGACTAGACTATAGACTAGACTATAGACCAGACTATAGACCAGACTATAGACTAGACTATAGATCAGACAATAGACTAGACTATAGACTAGACTATAGACTAGACTATAGACTAGACTATAGACTAGACTATAGACTAGACTATAGACTAGACTATAGACTAGACTATAGACTAGACTATAGACTAGACTATAGACTAGACTATAGACTAGACTATAGACTAGACTATAGACTAGACTATAGACTAGACTATAGACTAGACTATAGACTAGACTATAGACTAGACTATAGACTAGACTATAGACTAGACTATAGACTAGACTATAGACTAGACTATAGACTAGACTATAGACTAGACTATAGACTAGACTTATAGACTAGAGCTACTAGACCAGAGTCTATAGACTAGCCTATAGCCTAGAGTACTATGACCAGACTCTTAGACTAGACTATAGACTCGACTATAGACTCGACTATAGATCAGACTATAGACTCGACTATAGACTCGGACTATAGACTTCGACTATAGACTCTGACTATAGACTCGACTATAGGACTAGACTATAGACTCAGACTATAGAACTAGACTATAGACTAGACTATAGACCTAGACTATAGACTCGACTATAGACTAGACTATAGACTAGGACTATAGACCTAGGACTATTAAGACTAGACTATAGACTAGACTATAGACTAAGACTATAGACTAAGACTACTAGACTAGACTATAGCACTAGACTATAGCCTAGACTATAGACTAGACTATAGAACTAGATATAGACCTAGACTATAGCACGACTAGACTAAGACTAGACTATAGACCAGACTATAGACTAGACTATAGACTAGACTATGACTATACTATAGACTAGACTATATTACTAGACTATAGACTAGACTATGGACTATACTATGATTAGTTAGTTAGTTAGGTAGTTAGTTAGTTAGTTAGTTAGTTAGTTAGTTAGTTAGTTAGTTAGTAGTTAGTTAGTTAATAGTTAGTTAGTTAGTAGTTAGTTAGTTAGTTAGTAGTTAGTTAGTAGTTAGTTAGTTAGTTAGTTAGTTAGTTAGTTAGTTAGTAGTTAGTAGTTAGTAGTGTAGTTAGTTAGTTAGTTAGTTAGTTAGTTAGTTAGTTAGTTAGTTAGTTAGTTAGTTAGGTTAGTTAGTTAGTTAGTTAGTTAGTTAGTTTAGTTAGTTAGTTAGTTAGTTAGTTAGTTAGTTAGTTATGTTAGTAGTTATGTTAGTTAGTTAGTTAGTTAGTTAGTTTAGTTAGTAGTTAGTTAGTTAGTTAGTTAGTTAGTTAGTTAGTTAGTTAGTTAGTTAGTTAGTTAGTTAGTTAGTTAGTTAGTTAGTTAGTTAGTTAGTTAGTTAGTTAGTTAGTTAGTTAGTTAGTTAGTTAGTTAGTAGTTAGTTAGTTAGTTAGTTAGTAGTTAGTTAGTTAGTTAGTTAGTTAGTTAGTTAGTTAGTTAGTTAGTTAGTTAGTAGTTAGTTAGTTAGTTAGTTAGTTAGTTAGTTAGTTAGTTAGTTAGTAGTTAGTTAGTTAGTTAGTTAGTTAGTTAGTTAGTTAGTTAGTTAGTTAGTTAGTTAGTTAGTTAGTTAGTTAGTTAGTTAGTTAGTTAGTTAGTTAGTTAGTAGTTAGTTAGTTAGTTAGTTAGTTAGTTAGTTAGTTAGTTAGTTAGTTAGTTAGTTAGTTAGTTAGTAGTTAGTTAGTTAGTAGTTAGTTAGTTAGTTAGTTAGTTAGTTAGTTAGTTAGTTAGTTAGTTAGTTAGTTAGTTAGTTAGTTAGTTAGTTAGTTAGTTAGTTAGTTAGTTAGTTAGTTAGTTAGTTAGTTAGTTAGTTAGTTAGTTAGTTAGTTAGTTAGTTAGTTAGTTAGTTAGTTAGTTAGTTAGTTAGTTAGTTAGTTAGTTAGTTAGTTAGTTAGTTAGTTAGTTAGTTAGTTAGTTAGTTAGTTAGTTAGTTAGTTAGTTAGTTAGTTAGTTAGTTAGTTAGTTAGTTAGTTAGTTAGTTAGTTAGTTAGTTAGTTAGTTAGTTAGTTAGTTAGTTAGTTAGTTAGTTAGTTAGTTAGTTAGTTAGTTAGTTAGTTAGTTAGTTAGTTAGTTAGTTAGTTAGTTAGTTAGTTAGTTAATTAGTTAGTTTGTTAGTTAGTTAGTTAGTTAGTTAGTTAGTTAGTTAGTTAGTTAGTTAGTTAGTTAGTTAGTTAGTTAGTTAGTTAGTTAGTTAGTTAGTTAGTTAGTTAGTTAGTTAGTTAGTTAGTTAGTTAGTTAGTTAGTTAGTTAGTTAGTTAGTTAGTTAGTTAGTTAGTTAGTTAGTTAGTTAGTTAGTTAGTTAATTAGTTAGTTAGTTAGTTTGTTAGTTAGTTAATTAGTGAGTTAGTTAGTTAGTTAGTTAGTTAGTTAGTTAGTTAGTTAGTTAGTTAGTTAGTTAGTTAGTTAGTTAGTTAGTTAGTTAGTTAGTTAGTTAGTTAGTTAGTTAGTTAGTTAGTTAGTTAGTTAGTTAGTTAGTTAGTTAGTTAGTTAGTTAGTTAGTTAGTTAGTTAGTTAGTTAGTTAGTTAGTTAGTTAGTTAGTTAGTTAGTTAGTTAGTTAGTTAGTTAGTTAGTTAGTATACATAAATAAGTCTGCAAAATTAAGCATGTTTTAAATAAGCTCTCTAGTCATTGCTAATGGTCTGGGGTATAGAAACTCTTGATTTACAGAATTTCATTTCAATTTAATTTTTTTATCACATTTTATTTAAGTTTATATTATTTAGTGGTGGGCACTACCTCCAAAACAAATTGTGATAACAGCACAGTGGTTTCATATGTGACAAACACTCTAAAAAGTTATGTAAATTAAACCGAATAAAATTAATATTCAGCATACGTTCCCTACGATAGTTCCGTATTAAAAGAAAAATTGACATTGTTAATATACTTAAGACAATGTAAACACATTTAAATAAATATGAACATAATAATTTCTTTAAACATTTCTTATCAACGCAAAAGTATAAACAAACTGCTATTGTCAGACCCTCAACTGTATAAATTCAATATTTTTTACAGTGGCATTTTTTCACCACAAACACACAGTCGTTCTATTTTTATCAAGAATTTTTTATGTTTTTTGTTTTAATTCTTTTATAAATATATTTTGTTTTGTTTTTGTTTTCTCTGCTTTTCTATTACTAATTTAAATAATATATGTATTTTTTTTTTTTAATAATTTAGCTTTGTCTGATTTTTTATAATTCTTCAACTTTAGTACATTCCCTTCTATCCGTGTGACATTAAGTGGTTTATTTTATAAAAAAGATAAATAAATATTAAAAAATATATTTTGCTTTAGTTATTAAAAAAAAAACAAAACAAATAGAAATGAAAAGTTTAAATCAGTTTACAACGAGTATAATACTTGCCGCCTTGACTTTAGTGGCCTGTGTGGTACGGGCCGAGTTTCTGTTTTCGGTGCTGCATGATATTACTTCGTCGAAATATAATGGGGATCGAGATATGGTGATAAATATTATATTGGTTATAAATATGGTGGTTTATTTAATCTTGGCCATATTTTGTTTGTTATTAATGTATGCCATAGTGCAGGTATTTTGAAATTTCTAAAAATATATGTATGTATGTGTTTTTTACCATGTTAACTATGCTTTTTAAAGAAAAACCACCTGCTGATGACACCCTGGTTATTTGTGGCTCTACTGAGTGTTATTTGCGAAGTGATATTTATCATTTATATTTTGGCTTCGGGTCATAAGAAAGCGGTGTTAATTTTACTAATTGGAACTGGTAAATATTTTATCGTTTTTGCAAAAGATTTTATTGACAAATTGTTGCTTTTTTAATAGCTCTAAGTCTTTGGATTATATGGGTGATATTCTCTTTATATAGAAAACTACGTCAGGAAGCTCTTGTTAATAGAGATGAAAATATCCGCGGATATCGTTTATCGGCTAATACTATGGAAGTGTATTGAAATTGTTAGATTTTTAATAATTAATAAATTAAATAAAGCTTTAGATTCAAATTCTGATCAATTGTCAATTATTTCGACATTAAAACAAATTTAATTCAAAATTTAATAAAATATAATTAAAATCAAAATTAAGAAAAAAGTTATCTAACTGAGTATTTGTAGTTTAATAACTTGTATTCTTGAGTGAAAAATCCCATGTAGTCTCTGTGTAAAGCATTTGATTTAATGTATCCCAAAACAAATGAAAGAAAATGATCAATGATGATCATAATTTGCATAAATAGTGATGCACAAGCAACGGTATTATTGTTGATGATGTCTGTCGGTGATGTTGGTGTGGTTGGTTGTCAATTATTTTAATAGTTTCTTGCCACAAAAATCGAAAAACGTGGTTGTTAAGAAAATCAAACAAAAAAATAAATACGACAATCATAGACATTAATGGTTATAAAACCACATAAACAGAAATAAAGAAAATGAACTTCTATATACAAGAGAAACATTAGGATTAGAGATGAAATACAATGTTTAAAAAGGAAAACTTGTAAATTTAAAATTACAGTAGCCAAAAATGGTATTGAAGTTAATAACAAGTACATGGTTTCATACAAAACTGAAAGAAAACAAAAAAAGCTAAAACTCAAAATTTCGTTTGCCTCAACCAACGACTGTTAAAGCATTTATTGCATTAACCACAACATTTTAGTTGCAGGAGGAAAAAAACACTCAACAGAACCTCCTACAAGCCCATTTAAAGTAGATAAAGTTATATGCCAAATGAAATCGGAAGCTTTTAACAAAAATACTTACAATCAACAAAAAAAAATAATAATAAAAATTGAAAACAACAACAAAATTGAAATGAAAAACACATTATCTTTATGAATATCAGTGAACGGAAATCAAACAACTTAATAAGGTAAAAAATATACCTTTACTCCTCTATGAGATCTCTAAGTACATGAGAGAAAGGAGTATAGATTAGGAAAAAACATGAGTTGCCGGTGGGAATAATGAAGGGAGCGTCTAGGTAAAGTTAATACCTGATAGAAAATATTTGAAAATTTAACTTTTTAAGAGATTTTTAAAATTTTCTCTTCTCTAAAAAATACTGTTCTAATTTTTTATAATATCAAAAATTTTCGAACTAGAACTGAACCAGAACTGAACTAGAATTGAACTAGAACTAGAACTGAACTAGAACTGAACTAGAAATGAACTAGAACTGAACTAGAACTGAACTAGAACTGAACTAGAACTGAACTAGAACTGAACTAGAACTGAACTAGAACTGAACTAGAACTGAACTAGAACTGAACTAGAACTGAACTAGAACTGAACTAGAACTGAACTAGAACTGAACTAGAACTGAACTAGAACTGAACTAGAACTGAACTAGAACTGAACTAGAACTGAACTAGAACTGAACTAGAACTGAACTAGAACTGAACTAGAACTGAACTAGAACTGAACTAGAACTGAACTAGAACTGAACTAGAACTGAACTAGAACTGAACTAGAACTGAATTAGAACTGAACTAGAACTGAACTAGAACTGAACTAGAACTGAATTGAAGAACTGAACTAGAACTGAACTAGAACTGAACTAGAACTGAACTAGAACTGAACTAGAACTGAACTAGAACTGAACTAGAACTGAACTAAAACTGAACTAGAACTGAACTAGAACTGAACTAGAACTGAACTAGAACTGAACTAGAACTGAACTAGAACTAAACTAGAACTGAACTAGAACTGAACTAGAACTGAACTAGAACTGAACTAGAACTGAACTAGAACTGAACTAGAACTGAACTAGAACTGAACTAGAACTGAACTAGAACTGAACTAGAACTGAACTAGAACTGAACTAGAACTGAACTAGAACTGAACTAGAACTGAACTAGAACTGAACTAGAACTGAACTAGAACTGAACTAGAACTGAACTAGAACTGAACTAGAACTGAACTAGAACTGAACTAGAACTGAACTAGAACTGAACTAGAACTGAACTAGAACTGAACTAGAACTGAACTAGAACTGAACTAGAACTGAACTAGAACTGAACTAGAACTGAACTAGAACTGAACTAGAACTGAACTAGAACTGAACTAGAACTGAACTAGAACTGAACTAGAACTGAACTAGAACTGAACTAGAACTGAACTAGAACTGAACTAGAACTGAACTAGAACTGAACTAGAAGAACTGAACTAGAACTGAACTAGAACTGAACTAGAACTGAACTAGAACTGAACTAGAACTGAACTAGAACTGAACTAGAACTGAACTAGAACTGAACTGAACTAGAACTGAACTAGAACTGAACTAGAACTGAACTAGAACTGAACTAGAACTGAACTAGAACTGAACTAGAACTGAACTAGAACTGAACTAGAACTGAACTAGAACTGAACTAGAACTGAACTAGAACTGAACTAGAACTGAACTAGAACTGAACTAGAACTGAACTAGAACTGAACTAGAACTGAACTAGAACTGAACCAGAACTGAACTAGAACAGAACTAGAACTGAACTAGATCTGAACTAGAACTGAACTAGAACTGAACTAGAACTGAACTAGAACTGAACTAGAACTGAACTAGATCTGAACTAGAACTGAACTAGAACTGAACTAGAACTGAACTAGAACTGAACTAGAACTGAACTAGAACTGAACTAGAACTGACCTAGAACAGAACTAACAGAACAGAACTAGAACTGAACTAGAACTGAACTAGATCTGAACTAGAACTGAACTAGAACTGAACTAGAACTGAACTAGAACTGAACTAGAACTGAACTAGAACTGAACTAGAACTGAACTAGAACTGAACTAGAACTGAACTAGAACTGAACTAGAACTGAACTAGAACTGAACTAGAACTGAACTAGAACTGAACTAGAACTGAACTAGATCTGAACTAGAACTGAACTAGAACTGAACTAGAACTGAACTAGAACTGAACTAGAACTGAACTAGATCTGAACTAGAACTGAACTAGAACTGAACTAGAACTGAACTAGAACTGAACTAGAACTGAACTAGAACTGAACTAGAACTGAACTAGAACTGAACAAGAACTGAACTAGAACTGAACTAGAACTGAACTAGAACTGAACTAGAACTGAACTAGAACTTAAGTAGAACTGAACTAGAACTGAACTAGAACTGAACTAGAACTGAACTGAACTAGAACTGAACTGAACTAGAACTGAACTGAACTAGAACTGAACTGAACTGAACTAGAACTGAACTGAACTAGAACTGAACTAGAACTGAACTAGAACTGAACTAGAACTGAACTAGAACTGAACTAGAACTGAACTAGAACTGAACTAGAACTGAACTAGAACTGAACTAGAACTGAACTAGAACTGAACTAGAACTGAACTAGAACTGAACTAGAACTGAACTTGAACTGAACTAGAACTGAACTAGAACTGAACTAGAACTGAACTAGAACTAAACTAGAACGGAACTAAAACTAAACTAAAACTGAACTAGTACTGAACTAGATCTGAACTAGAACTGAACTAGAACTTTTCTCGTTTTTAAAAATGTTTTCAAACCAATCTCTAAAGAAAATTTTTGAAAAAAACTTTGAAATTATATGAAATTAACATGATTCCTACAGGGTCCCAAAAATTATGAACAAATATAGTTTTTTTTTTTTTTTTGGGATGCCAACATCATACTCTAAAAGGGCTTTTAAACGTGAGTTTAGAGAGCATCATACATACAATCGCTAAAGGGTTTCTTCATACAAAAGTATGACAAGATTTTTATTCAGTTCGCTTTTACTGTTGTAGTTGTTATTTTTGGGTTGTCGCTCTGATATAGCTGGAATTGTTTAAAGAACTATAAACGCAAAAACCGTTTGATCTTAACCAAGTGGCGCCACAATAATGACTTTATTTTCATTTCTCCTCTGCAGTTCAGGCAGCGAGAGCAAAGTAAGAAAAGAAGTATGTTTTATATCGCGTATTTCGTATTTAAAACAAATGTCATTTGATTTAAGATCTTCAATGATAAAACCACTAAATGTTAAGTGGTTTCTTTATTTTTTTGCTGAAACTTTTTTGTTTGTTATTGAAATGTTAAATTTACATAGAGACACGTGTTGTTATCCTTTTTTGTTTCTTAAACTAAAACCAATAAAAAAATTGAAAATGCAAGAAAAAAATTGCACATTTTTTTCACTTTAACATGAAATTGATTTTTACAAATGTCATAAACTTAAAGTAACTACAAAAAACAACAACAACCTTTGATCACCGATAGCTGTAATAATGTAGATGATGATTCTGCTGATCTGCATTATCTTTAACCCTTTCACAAAATGTTTGCTGGATTTCTTTTAATTCTTTGCTTTACGCATTTTTTAAAGTTTTGAAATTTGCATTGCTTGGTTACTTAAGAGAAAAACGTATTTAAAATAAATAAAAATAAGAAAGGAACAAAAATAAAAGAACACAGTATCTGTTGTATTGATATGAGACCAATTAAAGCTGCACGATCAGTGATGAAAATCTTAATGCGATCTTGTTATTTATTTGTAGCGCCACATTGACAACACTGACTGCACAAAAACACAGCAAAACCCATCCCTATACCAGGTTATTGTAACGACTGGTTATTGTGTAGTTGACTATGTAAGCCGAAAAATTAGAGCTTTAAAAGAATGCAGGGCACATTTTCAAAATTTACACTTTTTTATAAAAATTTAAAGATTTTTGAAATATAGAAATTTTCTCAGAAACATCATAATCTATGGAAATGATCTATATACAGATCACTGATCTACATATACATATCTAGAGACATATCATACAGATAACAGAATTTTTAATAAATCACAAACTTTTCTATCTATAAAGGATCATCTGTCTGTAGGACTGATATATTTTGATATACTCCAGAAAATAATAGAACTGATCTATAAACAGATCGTTGATCTGCGATATCTAATCACAAGTATATAGACAAATCACTGATATATAGAAAGATCACTGGTATATAGACAATTGAACTGTCTTTTTAAAATTTTGCTC